ATAGTTAATTTAAGAGGAAGTTGGAATTATTAGGAAAAGTGCTGAAGGTTTTATTTAAAGGAGGAGGTTATTGAACCAAGAGTTTAGATGACATATGATTATCCTATTTAGTAGTGATTATTAGGTTTACAAGTATCATCCAGAGCTGGCGGTTTGGCTCAGTGGTAGAACACTTGCCTAGTATGTGCAAGGCCCTGGGTTCCATCCCCAGCACCGCCCAAAGGGGGGGAAATAGAGATGTCATTGATAAAATTAATTGTATTGTAAGCCACACTTAAATAAATAACATTGTATTGAAATGAACTATGACTTATTTTTTTAAATGTTCTTTACGTAAATTCTTATACAAGCTCCACTATCATCTGAGAACCACAGGCTTACTGGAAAATTTTCACTCCTAACATTCTCCATGGATCTGTCCCAATGTTCGTTGCTTGCTCACTTGCTTATATATTTGAATTTTTTCTGGGAACCACTAGCTGCTTGTTTTGAGCTCTAGTTAAGTAAACTCACATTTGGTGGATTTATTTTATACTGAGTTACACAATAGATTTATAGCATAATATTCTTACCATTGCTTCATTTTTATAGGTTTACAATGTCTTAAAAAAACATGAAGGCCAAAAATATTGATATATCTTTGTGGTGTGAGTTGTTTATTTGAACAAGTTGCATTAAAATCAAATACTCATTGTTACGAATATTTATAAAACTTTGGTTACATTATATATCCTCATGTAGTCTATTTTTCTTTAGTCTTTGGTTTCCTCCTTTTATCCTTGCCGTTTCTAAAAATGTCTAGTGAAAGAAAAATCATTCTTGAAGCACAATGAAAGGTGAGAAGCCTTCAATCTGCTGTAATGCTTTGATTTTATGTTCAGTGTGATGACTGAAGATGAGAAGTTCAGACCAGAAACTGGGAACTTCGTGGCCCACATATGTCGACGTCACACTGTTCCCCAAAGCAGAGTGTCATTGCTGCTACATATATCTGGTTAGCCAGCATTTTCTCATTGAGAAGAATTGATAGCATGACTATATGATTCTTCTCTGCAGGCCTGGCTAAAGAAATGTTTACTCTGATCATAGGTATACACAAATATGTTCTTCAGAATGCAACAACCATGCCATTAAAGTCCACCCTCAGTATGTATTTTACAAAAGTGTTCCCACTGCCTCAATAGATTTATTTTGATCTTTCCCTGTCTTGTTCTGTGATAGGGAAGATGACAGATGATGAATATAAAGGCAGGCTGACTGGAAAACAATTACTGACCTATATGGTGATCTTACTTACAACCTGGCTTCAAATAGCAGCATCATTCCTTGACCAACAAAGGTGAAGACCAAATGAAACACTCAGATACATTTTTTCCATCAGTCACGCCTGTCAACAGTATATTCTATGTGTAACATGGAAGTAAGAATTGGAGAGTTTTAAGGTGGATTCACACTATGTCATCCGAAAGGCTGTGATCAACATTGTTGGGGGATTGGAGGGGTGGAAAGGTAAGGAAAGGATTGGGTTGGACCAACATACAAGTTTTTTTTCTTGAGAATTTCTGCTTTTTTGGGGGGTTCTGGGTTTGAACCCAGGGACACTCAACCACTGAGCCACATCCCTAGCCCTGTTTTATATTTTTTTTAGAGACAGGGTCTCACTGAGTTGCTTAGTGCTTCACCAGTGCTGAGACTGGCTTTGAACTTGGGATCCTCCTGTCTCGGCCTCAAGAGCCACTGGGATTACAGGCTTGTGCCACCACGCCTGGCAGAATTTCTGCCTTTTAACAAAGGTAATTAATGTTGATTTAAAAGGTCACACAATTAAAATAAAAGTCAATATTTTCCCCACCCCTTTCCCAGTCTCACGTCCAGAGGTAAGCATCATTCTACTAAGTTTTTTTTTGGTATCTTTCCAGAATTCCTATGTACATACAAAACTATTTTTTAAAATTATGACAAAAAGGGGATTATACTGCACATGTTCTATTTGTGTTTTCTTACTACATGCTATATGTCATGGTCATCTTTTTGTATAATTACTCCCCAGCCTTTTTGATGGTTCAGTAATATTTCTTAGCACAATTTTTTAACCATTCCTCATTAATAAGTATTTAGGATTTGCAAGATATTTTTGCCAAGATCAAAGTTGTGCACTAAACTTCCTTATAGCGTCGTATTTGTGTCCACATGTAAAATTTTCCTTTAGTGTAGACTTTTGACAATAAATTCAGTGAACCAAAGGGTCTGAACACTTAAAAATTTGGAAGATGAGTTGTTTTCACTGTTCCAGAAATATTAACAATGAAGTTTTAAGAAAGCTACTGTTTTAAGGGAATTTTTTAACCTTTTAAAACTCTAATCTTAATTAAAAAAAAATTATAAGTAATAAACATTGTAAAGTCTTGTCTCTGACACCACAGAGGGGTGGAATTTGAAATGTAAAAAAATCTGTCAATCCTTTATCTGTCAATTTCCTTATCTTTTATTGTGATTACCATCAGACCTGTATATACTTCCCTATTTTCTTGTTGCCTGGCACAGTATATCTGCTTCTTGCTATGCAAGGTGAGGAGTTTAATGGTCTTATACCGCTAGCCATGCTTGTAGTTATTTCATTTTAGGGGGGGTCACCAATTTTAGGCAGTATTTCACCACTTACCATGAGGTTTCAGAAGGAATCACGTGCCACTTAGCATTTTACCACTTTTCTGCTTTATAACTGCCTTTACTTACATACATTGTCAAAGGTTTTAGGATATTTTTATTCTATTCTACAACTATAATTATCTTATGTTCTTTTTTTATTTTTAAATTTTAATTTGTTATGTATGACAGCAGAATGTATTACAATTCATATCACACAGAGCACAATTTTTTCATATCTCTGGTTGTACACAAAGTAGAGTCAACACCATTCGGATCTTCATACATATACTTAGGGTAACGATGTCCCTCCCCTTTTCCCTATCTAGAGTTCATCTGATCTCCCATGCCCCCTCCCCCAAACCACATGGTGAATCAGCATCCTTAAATAAGAAAACATTCAGCATTTGGTATCTTATGTTCTTGAAGAAACAAAAACCAAAAATAAAAGTTTTCTTCTATGAAGGATGCTTTAATCACTGAACAAAGAAGTACAATCAGGTCCTAGAGAGGGAATGATAATCTTGTGGCAGTTGAAACAAAGGTGAAGTCAAGATCAAGTAAGAGTCTGTTTTTCTTAAGTCTGGCTCTATCAGCTGTTGACATGATGACACAATTTATTTTGATGTAGTTTTTTTTTTCACCTTAATTTCACTAAATCCTTTGTCCTGAAAGATTTTTAGATTTTTAAAATTTTGCAATTTGAATAAATGATTTTTTTTTTAAAGGCATCATCAAGTTCTCAAACTTATGGCTTTATTTTGGACTGTTTTCTATACTTCAGTCATTCTGGGATTTCTTGGCTTCTTCCAAGTCCACTCATTTTTGCAGTTCAGTTATAAAACATTTTCAAAAAGTTTTCTCAAAACTGGTGCTTGGGAAGTCAATTTCAAAATTATTTTGACTGGAAATGTCTTCAATGTTTTACCATCAAACTTAAACTGGCCTCCTGGTTTTTCTGGGGAGTGAATTCTTGATTTGAAGTCCTTTTTCCCTCAGAACTTTGAAAGCTTCTGATTGTCTTCCAGCAGTTTGGCTGTCAAGAAGTCACATGTGGACCTAATTTTCCTGGTTTTCCTATGTGAATGTTTAAATGATCTCTTTGTTTCCATGGATGACGACTTTTTTTTTTTTTTTTTTAAGAGTAGGTTTTAGATGCAAATATTATAAAATATATTTTTCTTGGCATTGTTTAATCTGCAGTCATTGTTTTTCATTCATTCTTTGTTTCCCATTTCTCTATGGAACTCATGGATTCTCAATTAGATTGTTGGGTGTCTAGGTACTGTCTACCCTTTGTTACTTGTGTTACTTTTTTCTTCCATATTCAAGAGATTTCTAATTTATCTTCCAGAATACTAATTTAGTCTTTAGTCATGCCCAATCTGTTATTTATCCCTTCTTATGAATTTTTTATATTATCAACTGCATGTTTAATTTCTAAGAACTAATGGTTCTTTGTTTTGTTTGTTTGTAGTAGCCTATTCTTTTGTTAATGTGCCCCCTTCTGTACGCAGTCTGGCTTCAAACTTGTGATTTTCCTCCTTTAGCCTTTGGAGTAGCTGGGATTACAGTCATGAATAACACCTGGCTTTTTTTTAAATTTTAAATAATAATTTTAGCCCTTAATTCTTTGCATAGTGACTTAAGAATGTAGCTCAGTGGAAGAGCTCTTGCTTAGCGTACATGAGGCCCTGGGTTTGATCTCTAGCACTGGACAGAGGAAGTAGGTAAATTGAAGTGTTTGTTTGTATATTGTTTGGTTTGATGTCCTGTTCCTATTTGTTTTTATCAAGGCCACTTAAACTGTTTCTTTTTCCTGATCTTTCCCTTACTTGCTATTTTCTCAAATCTCCAGTGATCCAAATATTTGACTAGTAGTTTGTTTTGGTTAATATTTGCATTTATTTTGCAGGTATACTTAAAAGTCTACTTATATAAAAGTCTACTCTTCTGGATGATAGATCTCCTAGACACGTGTGTGTGTGTGTGTGTGTGTGTGTGTGTGTGTGTGTGTAGTGAGGATGGGGAAGGGCAACCTTGGAATAAATTGCTAAAGTAAGTGGGTTGTATTCTGAGGCAGAGTGCCCTAGTTTGTTCCAAACTGCATTCTCTTTCACCTTTCCCTTTCTCTCCTCCTTTCTGTTTTCCTACTTCTTTCTTGTTTTCTTTTTTCCATCTTTCAGGGTCATAGTGTGGCATTCCTGTAAGCTCCCCCCACTCCACTTATTTTTGCTTTGTTAATAAAGCAGTTGTCTGGCTGTAACTGAGGTCACTTGTTCTATATATAAATGGCTCACATTTGAGTTGAAAGTTTTTTAAAATTAAAACAATTTTTTTTTTTTTTGGTCAAGGTACATGAATTTTGGAAATAAGGCCAAACCTTTGAAAGCAAGAATGAGCCTGATTGTGACTCGATTCCAAAGCACAGTCCTTTTTCATATTTGTGACCTTGAAACACTTCCCTCTTGATGTTGTCTTTCCATTATTTTTCCATTTCTGAAGAAATCTCAAATATTAAAATTTAATCATATACTTAAGTTTGAGGCAATCCATGGCATTGGAGTATTTGGAGGTAAGTCATTAACTGAAAGATAGTTTGCTAAACTTAGTACTTTCCTTTGAGGTTTTTTCCCCCCTAGAAATGCATTTATATTCTTCAGAAATAGAGAAAATACAAAGAAAATTGTCAAATTTTCATACCCCAAATCAGAAGTATTGGAATCATGTTCTCAGTGGGGGATGGCATTTTAGTCCAGTAGAATGTATCGTTACATCAAAAGTATTATCAGTCTTTATTTTATGTGTGTCTATATGTGTTTGTGGCACTGGGGATTGAAACCAGTGCCTTGCTCATGCTAGGCAAACCCTCTTTCAATGAACTACATTGCCAATGTCCTTTCTTAAGTTATTTAAAGTACAGTGAAGGTAACAGTGGCCTCTAATTTTAGGTTTTCCAGCTTTGAGATATAATGGACATTATATCAAGTCTAATGCTTGAGTTGGATGTTGGTAATTGAAACTCATTGTCTTTGATACAGGGGTCATTTTGCAAACTGAAATTTAAGTCTTACAAAATCTTACTTTGTATAAGTTTTCTCAAGTTGAGCCGTTTTCTGCCTGCCTCATTATATTCAAAGTGGTAGCAGTTATTGCTGAATAACTAAGTCTGTCTGCCTGGTGAGCTCTTTCAGGGCAGAGGTTGGATCAAAATGGAAGGCTTTGTTTATCAATTGTTCAGAATGTATTCTGGAGCCAGGTGCAGTGGGGTGGGGTGGGGGTTACTATAGTCCCTGCTACTTAGTAGGCAGAGGTAGGAGGATCGCTTGAGCCCACTTTGATACTAACTTGGGCAACAAAGCAATACTCTTGTCTAAAAAAAAAAAAAGTACTAGACATGATCCCAAATGCTTCACATATTTTATCTAATTCCCGAAATAATCCAGTAATTGAGTAGTAATCTCTACTTTACACATAAAAGTATTAAAGGTTAGGTAAATTACATGAGAACCAGTAAGTGATAACCTGGTTTATTAATAATTATTATATGAACTCTGAACCCTATATCAATTGGACTTAAATTGTATTAACATGTTCTTTTCTAGATTCCAGTGGAACTGATTCAATTTGATACTGTACTTGCATTCCTATTGGACAAAGCTAATGTCATCTGGGTTATTGCCTTTCATAGTAGGTTGTGAATGCGAATCAGAATTCTTATGATTCATGTCCTTTTTTTCCCCCATTATTGGGGAGTGAACCCAGGCCTACCCTACCACTGAGCTACTTTCTCAGCCCTTTTTAAGGGTTCATTAAGTTGCCTAGGGTGGCCTTGAATTTGCCATCCTACTGTCCTAGCCTCCCAAGTCACTGGGATTACACATATGCACTACCAAGTTCGCCTTGTTTACCAGAAGTTTATCATATTTTGTCAGTTGGGGTTTTTCAGATGCTTTTCTCATGGTAAGATTTGGGTTATGGATCTTTGGGGCAGAAGGTAAAAATATCGTTTTCAACACATTGTATCAAGGGTGTGTACTACCAGCATGATTTGGTATTCACCTTCACCTGCTTGAAGGTAGTGTTTGTCAGATTTCCCTAGCCTAACACTATTTTTCCTTCCTTCTCTGGACTGTACTTTTTGAAATGAAGTTATGATGCACTGCCCACACTTAGCAGGTTGAGAAATAATCTACCTCCCTCAGGGTATAGTAGTGACATTAAGCTGCATGGGATTTTTATGCATGGGAGATTTGACTCTTCACCCCCACTTATTTATGCAATTTTCTCTTTTTGGTACCAGGTATTGAACCCAGGGGCACTTTATCACAGAGCCACATCCCTAGTGCTTTTTTTTTTTTTTTTCTCTCTACTTTTTTATTTTGAGACAGGTTCTTAGTTGCTTAGGGCCTTCCTAAGTTGTTGAGGCTGGCTTTGAACTTGTGATCCTCCTACCTCAACCTCCTGAGTTGCTGGGATTATAGGTGTGTACCACCACGTATTATTTATGTAGTTATTTAAATCAGTAGGGCTTAAGTATGTAGTTATTTTGTTGAGATACACTATTGATATTAAGGAAATTAATTAATATAATCATCTCTTAGTTCAGGTTTTTCTCAGTTATCTGATTTCTTCTTTGAAACAGAAATGAGTGTATTTGTCAAAATTCCATTAGAGGGTATCTCATCCCAGATTACTCATTTATAAACCAAAACAAACAAACAAACAAAAATCTAGTGATAGCTGTAAATTGCAGTCTCTTAGGAATCATGTGATAGACACTTGCCCCTAATCAAATTTAAGGATTCATGTAACCTTATTCTGATGTAGGTACATTTTTGTCACTGCCATTGTTACCTTTCTTTCAAGATGTGTGTAGCAGTATTAGGTGGAAAAGATTACAGGGAGTCACATTTACCAAAAGTGTGCAAATATGCCCAAGAAGATTTTGGCAAAACAAATTCCAAGTACAGTGGATGCTATAAATGGCTATGATTGCCATGGGTTTAATTAAATACTTCTTTGGCGAGGATTATTTGTTACTTTCATTTATATAAACTTTAAACTTAAAAGAAATGTAGTCATTTTTTCGCCAACTGAAAACGAACCTGTTCACCTTTTTAATTTGCTTTCAGGAGGAAGTTTTGGTATAGCATTTGAAATTTCCTTCTTGGTTCTGTTTTTTCCTTCCTTATTAGAGGAGTCAGTCATGGTTTCTCTTGGCTCAGCTTATCCGCTGACATTAATAACTATTACTAATGTGGCATAGGTACAGTTCTTTCTGGTAATCTTATTGCCAGGCTTCTATCAATCTTATAAATGTTTTTTCTTTGGGGTTTCATAATTTTTTACTTTTTCAAATGATGATTATATGCTTTTTTTCTTGACTCTGTATGTTATTACTGAGATGTGAGTCATATCTATAAAAATGTTTACTGGACAACATTTGACTATTGAATTATACACATGTGCACATACAAACTCAACCAATGCATCTCCTTGTATCCTTTCTTCTAAAGAACTTTGTGCTTTTTCCTGAGTGCCTGCGTTTGGGACAAAAATATCTGCCATCTCAGACAAATGGCTGAAGTGTCTTATGATATTAGTATTACCATCTAGGAATCAGAAGAGAACAACAGCAGTGAAGTTGAGAATATTTGTTATATTCTTTCCCTTTAAGCTGTTATCCAAATAGCCTTTAAAATTAAAATGATTTCAACTTTTAAACAGCTATCACAGGAAAATTTGCTTTGGCACAAAACACTGCAAAATTGCTTCTTCTTGATTATTGTAAGTGAAGAATACAGAGGACTGATACATTTTAAATACTGTCAGGCAGTAATATGGAAAAGTATTACAGGTTTTCTTATTGTATCAATCTTATTGTATTTCTCCATAATCCTGAAGGTTTTTCTAAAAGCGGTCTTTAAAATTTACTCAGATGGAAATTGTTCTTTTTCCTGTTTATACCTTCCCCCCATGTTATTGTATAAAGATCTAAGCAGTTCTCCATGTAAGTTTCAGCAATACTTATGCCTGTATGTTCCTTGACTTACATATATATTTCAGCATACATTCATAAGGATTTGTTCACTTTGATGCTTAAAGTACTTAAATAGTTTTATGGCATTATCTTATGCTTTGTATGCTTAATTTCAGTTTCTAACCTACTTGACAGTTTGTTTTAGGCCAGCCCTTGTCAATTTTCCATGTACATGGTAGAAATCAACAAATCATTTTAACTTATTATGCAAATTAAATGTGGAATTTAAGTAGGAATATTGGCAAGTTTATAATGCATCTATCTCTTTTTTTTCCATTGAGTTTGCAGTGTTAACGTTTGCATATTGCTTGCTTTTCTGACATCTCAAGATTTTTACAACTTGGAAAACACTTCTGTGCTACCTACCCCTCATTTCTAATTTGTTTTTGAAGAAAACATTTCTGAATTTGTTTTCGAAGAAATACACATTACAAGTGTGGTTGAAGGCCCCTTGGTGTTTCTCTCCCTAGTCCCTTCTTTTATCTTACTCAGAGGTGTCCAGTCCCTGAATTGAGGTTCATCATTGTCAAACATACAGAGCTAGTGTTTCACATTTGCCGAATCAGTCTCCTAATAAACAGAAGTAATCTGAGAAATGATTAAATTCTCCCACAGAATTATAATATATATTGCAAGCATCAAAGGCTCTCAGACTTGGGGGGGTCAAACTCGTCCATTTAAAAAATTCAGCATTGACCAATCTACTTGATCACCAAAACCCTTCACTCACGATTCTGTGTGCTGTTGTTGCTTGGAACACTTTGAACACTGCTAGAGGTGTACCCATTCTGGAATTGATGTAGCATTGAATTTTGTAGTTTTTCATTAATATAACTTTCTAGATTGGAATGACAAAGATTCTAATAGTAGTCACTCACATTTGATGTTAATTATGAAATCATGATGAAAACCTTTGAAAGGTGAGATCTTTTCAAAAAAAGGTAAAATGCTCATAAATCGCACATTTATTGATGGATGAACAAGTTACACTCTTTAATTTTTTCAATTCTTGAGTTCTTTGATCTTCTAAACTGTCTTGCTGTGGACCTTGGCTTTACTTACCCCTTTGCCTTAAATTTATCTGTTTATGTTTTTGTGGCCAAAAGTAGCCTGAGTTTGCTGTTAATGTTTAACACATTTTCTTGAGTGGCAGTTCTTAAACTGTTAATATTGTACAAGATGATACTTGAATTCTTTGTTTACTTTTTCCTTCCTGTATTAGAACATCTTGGTGCTTTTTATGAGTTATGTATAAAAGAAATTTTTCTTAACATTTGTTCATATAATGACCTGATCCAGGAAAATAAAATGGGAAAATGGACACTATTTCTGACCTTCAAATAAAACTTATTTATTGGTTTTCAGACTTTTCACCGAGCCTTGGGTCATATGCATTGTCTTAGGGCAGAGTTGTGCCGTGTCACAGGTCCTTTAGGATCTGATGAGGCTGTGGAAGAGGGGTGAAATCCTGGGAAAATGCACAGGGACACAAAATTTGCATACAGTTTCACAAAAGCCAGGGAACCTCCTCCTCTAAAGGAAGCCTCACAAAACAGCTCTTTCCCTTACTCACCACACTCCACTTTGTGCTTCTGGGATAGGTAATAAAGAGCAGGAAATTTCCACTATCTACAAAAGTAAGTCTAGCACATCTGTTTACCGAAATATCTAAAGCCTAGAACATTTATTGTATTGTTCTTATAATTTAAGGGTTAATTAAGGTGAGTCTGTTTTGTTTTCCTTAAATCTTTTAAGCACACGAATGAATTTTTCATTAGTTGGGAAGATCATCTTGTTTACACTCTGCACTTCACTTATTTCAGGCATGATTTTGTAGCATATTTTAAAGTGGGGGGGATTTTTCTATCTTGTGGAACAGCCTCAAAAATTTACATTTAAAAAATAAGTTTAAGTTTTAATTCAGAAAACTTTTAAATTATTAACTATCTTGGGAAAGTTAATGTTCCAGGGCCACATAATCCCACAGATGTTACCCCAGTGTTCAGCCCTTGTTATATTTGGTGACTACATTTCGGAGGTTGGTACTCATACAGGAGCCTAATAAATGTTGGTATCATGCACACATTTTGAATTAATGAATGAGTGGAGGAGTACATAAATGAATGTGTGAAAGAATGATCAAGTGGAATAAATGAAATCATTTACTTCCTATTTAACTGTAAACTTTAGTGCACAGTTAGTGGCTGCTTTTGCAAGTGATTTGTTCAACACTATCTCTAGCCTGTTAGACACAGTTAATACCCAAACCTGTGTCACATGTCTCCAAGAGATACCAAATTGATAATTATGCTGGTAGGACCCTGAGGAAAAGTTTAGCTAGCTGACTTTCTACAAAGAAATGGTACAGAATTCATGGACCTCAAGGCTTGACCCCTAAACATAACCCAGTGTGGTTAGATTAATCTGTAATTTCTTTTTGTGGATTTAGGTAACAGACACTGGCCTTCATAATCAATCCAGTTACTCTCAGATATTTTAAAAGAAGTAATTCTTGCTTGTATATTTATTTTTAGATTTTTATCCTTAACTAGCTTTGAGAGATGAGAACAAATGTCACACAGTCTCCTCAGTTACAGTTGAGCAAGTTGAAGTTGATTTAGAATTTCAACAACCAGTTGGAACTATTGTGCCTCTTCATTTGGATATTACTTTTAGTAAGGTAAAGAGAGGATTGAATCAGAAAGAAGAAAACACGTGTCAACTCCTACCACAGGTTAACCCTTCTAGGTTGCAGTGTTCTCATATATAAAAAATTATAGGGGTGGGTAATTTTATAGGTCTTTTCTAGCTCTGGTATAATTAAAGATAACTTTTTTGTTGCTAGTTTTCATTGTGTAGCTGAGATAGTGAATAAAAATAATATGACTATGGAAACTTAAAGAGAAACTTTGATTAAGGCTGATAATTATCTTAAGAGTCCTTTTTGTGAGGATGGGAATATTCTGTTACCTGATCTGTTCATTGTGCTAGCCACTAGTCACATGTAACTTGAGTACTTGACTAGTATGAGTGAGGAACTAAACTTTTAACTTTAAATAATTACATGTAGCTAAGAGTTACCACATTGGATCATGCAGGTTAAGTTCCTAAATATTTGTGTTCAAAGGGAATTCCACACATAGATTTATGTCAGTCTAGTTCTTTATATAATGATTGACAATTGGAATTTCTAAATTTAATAAATTTACAATTGTATTCTAGTCTAATCATTGGAATCTTTCTTCATGGATATCCTCTGTTTACAGTTGCAGTCCAGAATGTATAAGGTGCTATGACCTTTCCCAGTCATCCTGGATTCTTTACTTCGTAACCATGTGCCTATATTATTGGCTTCTTAAAAGTTCTGCCATCCTTTTGAGGATCATGTGTGTACACTATGGCCTACATGTAGATTATTGTAAGTCCCCTCTTGGGCCAGACTTTGTAGTAGGCTTTGTAGTGCTAGAGCAAGTTTAGTGTTGTTCAGAGTCTGACATTTATTTTTTACATGTTTGATTCTGATAAGTTTTATTAAATTCCATTTTAAAAAATAGTCCTTCGTTGGCAAGAAGTTTTTTGTCCTAAAAACTTCAACCATTAGCAAGATATTTTTAGTCTGAGACTGCTCTATCACTAAGCTATAAAAACAGTTACCATCTGAATGAATTCAGCATTGGATGTACTCCATTCTTGGAATTTTCATGTTGGGGGTTCACAGTGAGCACTGTTCAAATTTTAGTATTGAGGCATTCTTCATGGGTGATGTTTGAAATTGATAGACCATGTGTTTGGTACTCAGTCATTTTTTCTATCAGATATTAACTTACATAAGATCATTTTTATACGTGACTTGCCAGTTCACAAATATCTTCGAAACTTGATTCAGCTGTATTGACCTGAGGTCTGTCATTGAAAATTCTGCAGCCCTGCTGAGGATCTGAAGCACATCTTCCTGGGACTACAGGTGCTGGTTAGCTCTGTATTGCAGAGCAAAGTCAATAATTGATTTTTGAGTAGAGGGAGACCAAAGGCAATGGTCATTAAATAAATAATAAAAGCATATGAATCATAAAGCAGCACAGAAATAGTAGTAAATGCCTTCTTACTCCCTTACTATTTCTTCTTTCTAGTATGTTATTACCATTTAAGTTTTCTGTTATACACATGGGATAAAAATACCTTGGTTTTCTGTCTGTATTATTATTTTTTTTTTTACAAGACAGGCTTATTGAGATATCATTTACTAAGATACAGAAAATTTCCAGCACCCCGGAAGGTACCTATTTCTGCCTCAGTTTTAATAATCATATTCATTATGTCAGTTTAATTTTCCTTAGTAACCCCTCATTAATTCATATTTAGATTATTTCCAGTCTTGGCGATTCAAACACAGTGCAGTAAATATCTTTGAACATAAATTCTGGTATGCTTTTCAGTTATAGCATGAATTTCTATCAGATTTATAGGATCTAAGATTTTGGTAGCTACAGCCAAATGGCCTTCCCCCAAAATATGTAGCAATTTACTTTTCAACCAGTTACAAATGAGAATACCTCTTACTCTCTCTAACACCAAGGGACACCACACATGATTTTTGGTAATTTGGTAGGGAAAGTATGAACTAGCAAAGTAACTTGCATTCAGTGGTGGTTTTTCTCATATTAAAAAACATACCAAAAGGTTAAGACACAAACCACAATATCACACTAGAGGAAATATGAATAGAAACACTTTTATGTTTCTACTAGCCCAATATAATTTTCACTTTTGTTTATCTGCATCTGCAATTTTGTAATTGTGTATTTTTATAACCATCCTCTCAACATATTAATCCATGTGTTGTTGTGCATGTGTTGTTCCATTTGTTTTTAGTGTACATTTATTTTACTTTGCTTTTTAAAAGTATTTTTATAGCTGTTCATGTATCTTTATTTATTTATATGTGGTGCTGAGAATTGAACCCAGTGCCTCACACATGTTATAGGCAAGTGCTTTACCATTGAGCCACAACCCCAACTTTTAGTTGCTTTTATTTCATGGATTTTATGAGCTTTTTTCTTTGTTTTTCATTTTAATAGATATATGATTGTTTAATATTTGAGCTATGGCAAGTTTTATCTGTCTTTATACTTCCAAAATTTGTTGCCTAGTTTTCGCTATTATAAACAAGGTTTCAGATACTATCATATGAAAGTTTTCCCTCCTCCATCCCTCCCTTTTCTGCCACCACCTCTTTTTCCCCTCCTCTTCTTCCTCTTTTTAATATATATTTTTTAGTTGTAGATGGACACAGTAGCTTTATTTATTTATTTGTCAGTGGACCTTTATTTTATTTATTTTTATGTGGTGCTAAGGATCGAACCCAGTGCCTCAAACATGTGAGGCAAGTGCTCTACACTGAGCTACAGCCCAGCCCCCCCCCCTCTTTTTTTTTTAAATAAAAGAGGCCTGGTTTTGCTATTTCCTAAGCTGGTCTTGAACTGCTGGACTCAAATGATCTGTGTATCTCAGTCTCCCAAGTAGCTGCAAGTATAGGTGTGAACCATTATACCTGCATGTATGCAAGTTTTAAAAATTATGTTCTTAGGATGTGTTTCCTACTAGTCTTACTTTTCTTGACCTAAATGTATTGTATCAGCATTGGCATGGCATGGTAGCTTTTTATATTTGAAATAATTTTTGTCAGTGCAGAAGAAATGTATTTCAATTTTTTTCCTCCCTGAAGGAAACAGTTACCTATCAATTTGCTTCTATGGTAGCTTAAACTATTTTCTTTTTTAATTTTAAAAGCATTTTTAAAAAAGTATAAAGATTTCACACCTACTTTCCCAAGATAATTTCCTGTTAGTTAATTCAGTTTTTGATTGAAATTTTCTCCCAGTAGGTTATTTGTTTTAAAATTTAAAACTTACAAAATAGTATATATGTTGAGTATCCCTTATCTGAAATACTTATAAACAGAAGTGTTTCAAATTTCTTTTTCTTCCTTCCTTACATCCCCCCCCCCATTTTGGAATGTTTGCATATATGTAATGAGATATCTTGGGGATAGGTCCTAGGGCTAAACACAAAATTTATTTTTATTTTATACACACCTTATACATATAGCCTGAAGATATTTTTATACAATATTTTTTTTTGTGTGTACACCAGGGATTGAACCCAGTGGTGCTAAACCATTGAGCCACGTCCCCAGCCCCCCTTTTTTAAAATTTTGAGATGGGGTCTTGCTAAGTTGCTTAGGGTCTTGCTAAATTGCTAAGGCTGGCCTTCAACTTGCAGTTATCCTACCTCAGCCTCCCAAGTGACTGGGATTACAGGCTCGCACCATCATGCCTGGCTGATTTTAATACTTTAATAATTT